ATAAATTCATGTTCACATACCGTAAAAACAATCGCTTTCAAAAGAAATCCATCTGGGCAGAGCACGAATATATGAATATACCCCCCCCCCACCCCCAATTATCGGTCTAGCTACGGCCCTGGTAATATTGTATTTGCTATATTTAGGAAACAGTGTCAACTGTGATCGTGGTGAACAGACTTGACTGCTGTATTGTCAGGATAAATGGTTTCAAGGTATCTGTGGGGAACAATGGTAACAAGGCGGGAGGAAATACAGAATGTGGTGGACGATCAGTAGCTAAAGGGGGGCCGAATATTATCCAATGTCCCACGATGCTACGAGGAAGATATGTGTTCGTGTATATGCCAGAGAGGAGGTGGACTAACATGGCCCTGCTTGAAGTCGAGGTGTATAGGCTAAAAATGACAGAATAATTTTCGAATATACAGTCACAATTAACGAAGTCACGGGGTTATCAACATATATACAGTATTGTGTTATAGATTAAATAACCAGATAATATACTTTGATCTGTACCTGTAATTTTAAATATAATTAATAGTAAATATTTTTGAATATAATAGTAAATATGCGCAAACAAGAAGTGTTTTGGGTATTGTGTAAAACTAAAGCCTCGCATAAAAAAACCCCAGTTGGTTAAGAACCACCAGCTTGAAATTTGGGCAATTAAGCACCCAAAATACAAGACCCACTTCAGGCCGACAAATGAGTCCGGTTCTTAAAAAACCTTATTGAACTACAGTAAGAATCTAGCTGAATTAGCAAACATGCGCAGGTATACTAGGAAGAAAACAAAATACTGTAATCTTGCTAGCATGAATTATTTCTTTCATACACATCATGCATTTATTTTATCAAAACTGTTGCATGTTATACAATAAAAGATTTAGAACTCTAAACCAGGAACAATTGTTTTTGACTGGAAGTATGAACCAGCTAAGAAGTTGTAATTGTGCTTGTAGTCTGTTGGCCTCCCTCGCGCAACTGATTATTTGTATTTTGATAAAACCAGGGCCTTTCCAACCAGGTAATTCCATATCGCGGCTGTTGACAAATCTTCCAGGTTACTTTCAAACTGGATTGTGTGTAAATTTCACGCGCTGCATGTGTTTTTTGGGTCTTTTTTCATCTCCTTGCTAATACATTGTATGGAAAGGTAAGGTTTTACTTGTACCAATGTACCGAGCTATTATAGTATAATAGGTTATAGCCAATTGAACTACCCGAATATGGAAAAGAGCTCACAGTTTTTTTTAAATGGGGGAGAGGTGGAGGGGGGGGGGGGGTAAAGCCTCCCTGGATGAAATTTGGGGGGTATCCAAACACCGTTTGTAGACTTTGTAATGCGTTTGCAGAGGAGAAGGAAGTAGAGATGCCCCTGCCCACGCGTGACGTCATGAGTTTCATGCGTGAATGACTCGAAGTGTTCGCTACCAAAACAACACGAAAGATCAGAGATCAATCATCAGTAAACGACGAAGTGTAGTTTCCGTGATAAGATTTTAACGGTTTCGACTTACATAAATGGAAACAAGCGACGATGAACAAGGGCAAAAGCCTTTACTTTTCTCCACAGAAGAACCTCGGCCAAAAGAATCCGGAGTAGTCGGTGTGCTAAAGGCGAAGAAATGGGTAGTTGTATTTGCATTCGCTGGCGTTCTGGCCATCGCTATTATTGTTGGTTTTGTCGCCACTAAATCGTCACATTCTGGCTGTTCGTCCTACGCAGACAGTGAAAAATGCTTCTTCACAGGCGAAATTCGTTTGCCCACTGTTTTGAAACCGTTAACGTACAAAGTACGCTTGCATCCGAACTTAACAACGTTCAAATTTGATGGAAGCGTTACTATTGTGGTTCAAGCTTTAGACGATACCAACCGAATCGTATTCCATCAAAAAGGTTTAAACTTTAGCAAAGAGGATATTTCAATATATGGAGTATTAAAGAATGGCTCTCCGAATAAAGGCAAAAGCATAGCTGTCCGTGAATTGCGCTTCGACCCCAAAGACGAACAAGTGATCATTAAGACCGCTGTAGATCTTCAAAAAAATGGAGAATATGCTATCGAAATTACCAAATTCAAGGGAAATTTAAACGAAAAATTAGAGGGCTTTTATAAGAGTTCTTATAAAAATAAAGCCGGCAAAATAAGGTGAGTTTTAGTAAGTTTTTTCCGTGACAGCAATATTCTAATTGAAGACGGCGGGTACTCAAAGACTTATGTAAACATTAATTTATACCTGTGTGTAGTCATGTCAATATACCAGTTTTATATCAATATTTCTGTACTTTTTATGCCGAATATTTGCGGTGTTTTTTTGCAAATGCGTACCTGTGAACAACTTGTTAGAAATTCCAAAACAAAGGTTAAAATAAGTTGGGATTAGTGTTACAAATTAAACCAAATTTTAACCTAATTTGTTATTCTTATATTTCCAAAGTGTCTTTCAACAACCCACGGTTATTTTAATATTTTAATACAGAATGACAATATTTGATATCCGAACTCGGTGTTGCAGCTTTTGCTTACTAGGCCGAATGTAATTGGTCAATATTGATCACATGCTGTGCGGGCTTATGTTAGCTTTATTAAGTTAATAATTAATGATGTTGTGAATATCTATGTATAATGTTTATAGCATCTGTTAAACATGAACTTCCCTTTTTTAATACCCAATGTCGTTTTCAACTTATAATGTTCAATCATGAAGTTACAATGGGCCAAGGAGGAAGTTTTCCGATCCCTGCGCGACCGGACAAATGTCCTCTGTAGGCGGGAGTGTGAATGAATGCATTGCTGTTACAACAGGGAAATTGCTTGTATATTATTCTCTACAATAGCAAGCACTGGCCGACACTTGACGGAATATTGGAGGGGGGATAAATTTGTATGCTAGGGTGCTTATATTAAGGGCGGTGCAATTAGAGCGCACACACTGATCGACATGTAGATATCATGATACCATGGCTGAAATTTGACCCTTTTTAATTAAAGCTTCTTTTCACTACACTAAGCCAGTAAAATCGTTCGAAGAAATAGGGAAGATATTGCGTTTTGATTAGCCTGTGATTCTTTTGTCTAACGTCAGCAGTGTTTGACTTATGTAAGCTTTAAATTATGACTGTTGAAACAGGATTAATGTTATTATCATACTACAAAGGCCGGGTTGTAGCTCAATTTACCATAAATATATTTTTGTAAATATTTTCAATTGTCGCTTATCCTGTCATGCTTGATTGCATGAGATATCGATCTGTATAACGTCACTAATAGAAATCCTGCCATGCCTCATTACATGTGAAATATTTTAATTAGTATGGCCTCTTGGATGCGAAAGGCGAAAGCATGACTTCACTGATGAGAACATGTGCACTGCATGATAAACATTGCCATGTCTGACAAGTCTAAGGCAATGGTGTAGTGGGGGGGGGGGG